CACAGACCACATCGGAAATGTTTAAGGGAACCGCAAAGTGATGAACATGGCTGGGACATATTTATCAATGTTTGCTCTGAAAGGTGAGATTTTTGTTTATTTTAACATCCTGATCATACGATTCCTTTGCTGCTTCTTCTTCTTCTTTTTTAAATTTTTTTTATTATTAGCCTAAATAAGCTGACGAAAATACAGAATTACTGTAACTGTGAAAGCATGTAAGCTGGCTAACTTACTTTACAACTTCCCTTACAAAAATTAACCATATGGTTTTACTATTAAAATTAATTAATTAATTAATACATTTATTATGTAAAAAATAAATAAAAACAAAAAATGGTTACTATAGTTAAACCATGGTAACCACAAATTAACCATGGGTTTACTACACTAACCATAGTTTAACCATGGTATTTGCACAACTGTGGTTATACAAATGGTAATCAATACAAAAAAAACATGGTTAATTTTCGTTTTGTTGGGGTAATTTTGGCATTGTTGGGGTCCTCCCGTTGTGGTCTGTACTTGCGTTTCTGTATTTGGTTGTGTTGTGAGTATTTGCAGCGCGTTTCTGTATTTGGTTGTGTTGTGAGTATTTGCAGCGCGTTTCTGTATTTGTTCGTTTTATGAGCATTTGCAGCGTGTTTTTGTATTTGATTGTGTTGCGAGTATTTGCAGCACATGTGCTGTCAAACTGATGAAGATGTTTTCTTAATTTGCTGGTGCTTTTTCTATTTGCATGTGTTTTCTGAAGTTGCAGCACGTTGAGTTCTCTCGGTCACTGTAGTTCTGTCCTTGGACTACCTGCTGCTTCATTTGGAATTCTTGGCATTCAAGCTGTTTCCATTTCCCATTGGTGTCAAATGTTTTTCACAACCAAAAAGCCAGTAAACTGTCTGAATCTCGATCCTAGGGAGGGATTGTATTTTGGTCTTGCCTCCGGTAACAGTCAGTCATTCTGTGGATAAGGATCAGCTGTGCTGAAGGTCCCCAGACTGAACCTCAGTCCCAAGACTAATGAACCCTACCTGTCCAGAGGGGATGTGATTGAGGAAAACTGTCAGCTCACAGCCCCTGCGACTTTAGATTGGCATTAAGAAATGTATCTCTCTCTTTCTCTCCAATTCTGATAGCGTTCACTCTATTAGCATTTAATTTTAGTAGCAGTTCATATATTTTATTGCTGTGAATGATTACTGAATCACTTTAGTAGTCAGTACATGTGTGTTTTATGGTTAGTATTTTACCGACCCCTGACTCCCTGACCAATTACCTGCTCTAATTGGCAAGATAAACATGATCCCTGTGTGCTTGTTCTCAGTGCGATGTGATGTTAGGGTGGAGAGAGCAGAAGGTTCCAGAGGGACTCATTACAGTCGCTGCTTAATGTCGTTCCAAGTTCGAATCTGACTCTTTCCTGCAATGCATTTATAATCTACAGATAAAGACAACACTTTGGTTCCTGCTGCAGATATCTGAATAATACTGTAAATTAATAAAAACAAGACTAAGCTATATGATAATATTCTGTTTTTAACATTTTAATGTATTTAAAGGGGTCATATGATGCGATTTCATTTTTTCCTTTCTCTTTGGAGTGTTACAAGCTCTTGGTGCATAAATCTGTATCATAGATCTGTAAAGTTGCAAAGACTAAAGTCTCAAATCCAAAGAGATATTCTTTATAAAAGTTAAGACTTGTCCACGCCCTCCTAAAACGCCTCGTTTAAACACGCCCCCACATGTCTACGTCACTGTGTGGGAAGATTTGCATAACACCGCCCAAATGTTCACGCAAAGAAAGAAGACGTAACTTTTATTCTCACTGTAGTATTGTTGTTGCCGCCGCCGCCATGTTGTGGAGATGCTGTGTGTTTCGTTGTGAAAGCGAAACTACTTTGTTCGGCCTTCCAAAAGAGGACGATATCCGCTTCGTCATGCCTAGAGCTGATCCGTGCTGGTTGCTGAGGAAATACATCAACTTCGCGCGGTGGATCGCCGGATCAGCTTTCACCGTGGACAAAGCGGAGTCCAGCCCGGGGTCGTCACATGTGGCTGCCGCAAGCCCGCCCGCCGCCGCTCACTCAGTGTGTGCAGTGTGTGACGCTGTGTGACGCATTTTATGGAGGACTGTTTCCTGAACCTGCAGAGTAGCCAACAATGGGTCTGTTCTATAAAGTGGGGCAGTTCCAACTTTGCAAGGACAGTCTGGCGCTTCTGACTCACAGCCTATAAGTAAATTTTTTATATTTAAAGAATTTGCCACTGATGATTCAAACACGAGTT